ATCATATCCGAATTATCCAGATCCAAAGTAAGCTAGGGCTAATCATGAATACCTACCTAGGTATGTGAATATGAGTGATATACCGACCGATTGGGGAAATTTTAGACGGGGAGATTTCTTTTCGTAGGGAGTTCCGACGTTTGTTCCGGGGATTGGATAATTACTGGGAGTTGAGAATATGATGAGAATCGAGAGGGAATGAGCAGATGGGAATTATGTAGCGTCCGTGGAGACGCATATTCAGATATATGGTTTCGCTTGAGATGGTAGATTTTGTGAAGCATTATTTGGGTTGTCTGATGGATGCAGGTATGGAAATTGGAATGAGTGATTTGCAGACTGTGATATCTTTGCTCGATTTAAAAATTTGGGGGAGTTGGAGTGTGGTGATATATTGCTCCGGAATCATTGTGTGTAGGATAAAAAGTTGAGAAAGAGCGAGGTAATGTATCTAATTAATCTATAGTCAGGGAAAGAGTAGACAGTATTAGCCTCACAAGGGACAGATTGTTTTCCGTGATTAACCTTGGAAATACCTGTTACTTCTAGAAATTCAAAAGGAGATGAAAATTTGAAGACCGACCGATTTGCATTTATAAATTTGAATATTCACTTACGGTCTGTTTAATCCTTATTGCTTTCGCACCCAGAGTATTACCAGAGCGGATGCGATACCACTGTTCGCTATAGCATCTGCAATCATGGTAAATAATCTAACCCCAAATAACCTGTGAGATCTTTTGCTAATTTTCTTGGAAAGGCTAACGTCGACTATGGACCACAAATTTATCTTCAAAATTATGCATCCAACCCTTATCATCATAACCCCGGAGCGCCCTGCGCTTGGGAAACCACCGAGAGTTATCAAAGAAAATGGTCATTTCCAGCAGTTCGCATTCTCCATCGTGTCCCAGAAGTGTGTCCTGCGGGCGAACATTGCAATGACGGAACGATAGCTTGGGAGACCTGCACACAGTTGGATGACGAGACTCCCTTGAGGGTTGGACCTGGACATGCTCAACATACCGGATACTGTATTACTAGAAAAATAGGCTTCTGTAAATATTGGAAATCTGAACAATCGGACCCCTTTGTTTGTTGTTATCACCTCTTGACACGGGTGGAGGCACCAATGAGGAAAGGGTATTGTTTTGGAGAAAACTGTCCAGGACTTGAGGGGGCAAAAAGTATTCCTGTTGTTAACTATGATCCTGCGGCTTATTATTCCGGCGAAAGGTTACAGTACGAAAGGGAACGGCTTGATTTGTTAGAAGTAGAGGCGGAAACTGGAAAGGATGTGAGGTTTCATTGGAAGAATATGGATGGACCAGGCTATGAGACTTTTGAAGAGGAGAATTTACAATATAAGTTTGGATTCCAAGGACGTAACAGAGTCCCCAAGCCGGTTATGAGCTACATACCGAATGACAGTTGGTGGCGGCCGCATTACCAAGTTGGATGAAAACAAAATTGAAAAATGTGGACATGGACGTTTGTTTTACTCTTGTATGTGGGATGACTGCACGAAGATGAGCAGGTGGATGGAGGGCATCATTTCGAGCTTTATGAAAGGGTCAGAAATGCAAGTGGTATACTTGTGAATTCGTAGGAATAGGAATAGAAGAGATGTTTTTTGAGCTTTGATATATTGAATTGAGCGCGCATGGGGGTATTGTGCTTGGCTGTCTCCAAGAAAATTTCAAAGCTCTCCCAGGGATCCGTAGACTTTCATGCACTTTCTAGTAGCTGTGAAAACTTTTGGCTTCTACTTTTCTCAACAAAGCCGTGAATAATAAACGAAAGACGTAGCTTCGAATGCTCGCTACTGGTATCATGCTTCCCTGGAAACTTCATGGTGTCACCACCTTTAATTGAAATCGCGGAAGCTCAAATCGAGATTTTCTGCATCTCAAAGGCACTTGAGGTTGGTGAACGAGTATGAATCGGAGTTTACCCAGTATCATTAATCCTCACTCCGATTCCACCATGGTGATACATACAACAAGCCAGCGTAGAAGAGTACTCATGGATAATATTATCACCACCCTAGTATCACAAACGAAACCGCTTGATGTTCATTGTGATAGTGTTCTTCCTTTCAAAGCTCAATCAGGACTGACGTATCCCAATTGTAACATTGTGAATTTACTTCTAAAGCTGTGCTGTAAATAGGTATCTTCCAATGTCACTTCAATCGTTGCGACGAATTCCAAAGTGTTCAAGTGAAAAGCCTGGTGCCACTGGTACCCTTCAACGACGAGCATAGAGTGAAATATGCCACGTGACACAATGGTGATAATTCAAATACTGAGAGGAGAACTCTTGGTAGCTTGAGCCTCACCACAGTACAGCCCTGTGACTCAGCGCGAGTACGACGTTGAAGAAATCCAACCAATCACAGAGTGCCCATCTGCGTATAAAAATAATGCTTAGAGATTATCACATTGCACGCGAGGTATTGAGCAGCTAGGTATCCAATGACAATTGTGATATTATATTTGCCACTCTACCGTACTTCACTCTTCACTTCTCATCCCTCACTTCACTCTGAGCAAAAATGAGTCGAAAAGCATTTTAACTGTTTTTAGTAAATTTGGTGGATTTTAGCGCAATTATAAGAGTCATCCCACATGAAATCCCTGCTAGCGTATAATTGCTATCGAGAAAGGGTTTGCTGATTTTCCTAATAAATCCACTGCAGAGAACTTCGAAAATCTTCATTCAAATTCATAATTATCTACAAACCACAACAATCAATCAATTCTTTCACCTTTTTTGATCAGAAAACTCTACCAGAAATAATACCAGATATTCAGGATCGCATTTTCGCAAATAATTTAAATATGGCCGTTCGTGCGCAGTTTGAGAATTCAAATGAGTAAGTTTGCCTGCCTGCCTTACCCCTCCTCGATGGATGATATGATGAGATGGATTGGAGTGAGGGACGAGTACCCCACCACGGGTGGCACAATTGATGCGAGGAGTGGTGGAAGGATGGGATTTAACTGGAAACATGCGGAGGGAGAGAGAATGGATATCAAGCACGAAGAATTTCGAACATTGGATAGGTTGCTGACAAATTGATTCTTTTAGAGTCGGTGTCTTCTCTACATTGACAAACTCATATGCCTTGGTTGCTGTTGGCGCCAGTGAGAACTTCTACAGGTATGTGTATCTTTAAGCCCTTATAACTTTGATTCCGGCGCATTCCAGTCTTCTCTCAGCGGATGAGCAAAAACTAATGAGGCGAACAAAAAGTGTATTCGAAGCAGAACTCCAAGATGTTATCCCAATTTGCCATGCCACAATCGCAGGAACTCGTATTATTGGACGTTTGACTGCAGGTAACAAGAAGGGACTTTTGGTACCAACGAGCACAACAGATCAGGAGTTGCAACATTTGAGAAATAGTTTACCGGACAGCGTTAAGATACAGGTGGGTTATTGTTCTATTATTCTGGATGATTGGAGAGCTTTGCGACCAGTTTTGAGCATTGCGATACTTGAAATAAGCTTGGCTTCACTCCAATGCTCCGATTTATTTTCTAAATACTAACGAACAACCAAACAGAGAATAGAAGAGAGACTTTCAGCTCTTGGAAACGTCATAGTATCAAACGATCATGTCGCCCTTGTCCATCCAGATCTTGAGCGCGAAACCGAAGAAATTATTGCCGATGTCCTCGGTGTTGAAGTTTTCCGTCAAACCATTGCCGATAATGTCCTTGTCGGATCCTATATGGCACTTTCCAACCAAGGTGGTATCGTCCATCCAAAAACCAGCATTCAGGATCAAGATGAATTATCTTCGTTATTACAAGTTCCATTGGTTGCAGGTAGTGTAAACAGAGGTAGCAGTGTAGTTGGTGCAGGCATGGTTGTTAACGATTGGATGGCCGTTACTGGTTTGGATACTACGGCTACGGAATTGAGTGTGGTCGAGAGTGTATTCAGGCTGGGCGAGGGACAAGGCCCAAGTGATATTGCGGGAAAGAACAAGGATACCATGGTGGAAAGTTTCTATTAAATTCTCTGGCGGGGGATGTGTATATGAGGAATTTCGGAGGATTAAAGCCTTCAGTCCTGTGGCTTCGCTTTCCTCGGTCATTATTTAATAGATGTCATGGGGTATTTGCCAGCAGGAGAATAATCTCTTCAGCTGCTGAGATATGATACATAGGGTAAACTGGTCGTTTAATGGCCATGAATGGAGACTTTTTCCTCCCCATGCCGAAGTTCTGACTCCCAGATTTACATGATCCTCGAGCTGTGAAAATTGGACCTGCAACTCTATTGAAGCGGCGGCTATATTGATATATGATCTCGTTCTTGAGCGTTTTGGGCCATCTTCGTCCAGCAGACGAGATATTCATTAGGATAAATCACTAGATCAAGCTTCTGGCCTATTAGTCCATATGTGCAACGTTAATAAAACAGTCGTCAGTATAGCTCTAATGAATTGCGAACATTCTCCATACAAAAACTGTCTTGACATCTATATAGCCTTTAGCGACTAGTAGTTCGCTCAGATTTTCTCTCGACCTATCTGATGCCATTAAAAATTCCTTAAACCTAGGTAGGCTCCATATTTCCAACTCTTTTAACATTTGAACCGCATTTACTGGATTCGATCTGGACCCTCCGAATCAGATGCAGAATTAGATACAGCACGTGATCAACCCGTTTTCTTCGTGTTTTATAGGCCCGTGCGCAGTGCAGGTGATATCGACGCGTTTGTTCTTTTCGAAAAGAAAGTTCACCTTCACTTTTACCTTTTTCGGAGTTTGTTTTTCTTTTCGTATTTTCGTGTTTAATTTTCAGTTTCAGAACCGCCTCTGGAATCTTACAATAATGTCCAAGCAAGAAGGTCAATTCAAAGTCTGAAAATATCATCGCCACGGGACAAGGTTTGATGGTGAAGGAGAAGACACTCCATACCGTAAAAGAAAACGGAAGGGCGGAGGATAAAGACTGGGAGGTGTAAGCTTGGGGAGCTCAAAATGGATAGGGGCATGTCAGAGACGGATTCGGGGATGGATTTTATTGAACAGTGGGATTGGCAGCGGTTTAGGGAGGCCGAGAGTATGGAGTTGGAGGATGAAGAGGATAGTGCGATGCAGACGCAAGTGAGCATTGAGAATGGAGAAAAGGTCAAGGAGACGACAAGAGATGTCAATCAGATGGGAGAGGTTGGTGAGGTGGATCCGAGAGGATCACAAAGTATGATTTTACCACAGTATGATGGGCCGGCTGATGATGAGGATGTGATTGAGGAAAATGGATCGGTATCAAAAATTGACATTGACGATATTGATGTGGGATCGCGTCAAGTAATTTTGCTACAGTGCGATGACCAGGCTGTATCCATATCGAAAACCGGGAGCGGAGATGTCGATGTGAGCTCTCGACATGATGATACAGCAGCCTCAAATATACCTACGGAGGAAGGGTTGAACAAAAACGCTCCCGTGGCCCAAAAGCAAAGAATGGTTACGGAAGACTTCGAGCCGTACAAGGAAGAGAGTGGGGCAATTTCGGAAAAACACGATGATACGGCAGATGAGCAAGAAGACCAAGAGATGAACCTAGCTGGTGACAAAAGCATTCCGGATTTCCCTGGAGCGGAGATTGGCGATCAAGAATTGGTCAAAGTTGATGAACCAGCTCTACTCGAGGAAACTCGTAAGAATGCTTTAGAGACAATTACAACAACTACTGAAATGACAATTGACTCTAGTCTCAACGCGGATGTTGATCCTTTCGGAGGAAATATGTGTTTTGAAAAACAAATCTACGACAAGTCAGATGATAAGATTAAGGATTCGGGGTCATCCAGCGAGAATATTGTGTCGGAGAGGGGTAACGACATCTCAAACTCGGAAAAAGCTATCACCGAGATGGGAGCTGGGCCAGTAATTGATAAACCTATCGTTGGAGAGAACAATCAAATCGAAGAAATTTGCGGTAATGTTACATCTTTGAATACCACTCATTCCGAAACGACTGTTGAGACTGAAAAGATTGTTGACAAAGACGCAAATTCTGGGAACGAAGATCATGGTACCGAAAGCATTACCAGCGGGTTCCTGAGTAATGAGGATTTAAGGGACCTTGAAGGGAAGCCGAGCTCAATATCTATTCTGGAACAATCACCTGTTGAATTTGCACCCGGAGACAATTTCCCGGAAGGAGTCCCGTCAGTAGATGAGAATGTCGCGAGTTCTGCGAATTTAGACAACACGTCAAATCTTACGCATATTCAAGTTCTCAGAATTCCTAATCAACTACCTGTGGACGATGAAAGCTTGGATGATGTTGAATTGCCTTCACTTTCCAGATTGGAAGCTCCAGTACAGGCAAGACACGTAGAAATTCCGGATAGCGATGCGATCACAGAATCAAGTCAACAATCTCCGCAAAAGCTTAGCCATAATGGAAACACATTCGATAGCTCGGCGAGATATGGAAAGAATGTGGAAATGACCATAGGCGCCGATGCTGCCAGAGAAGAAAATGAGGATGCGGAGGCCGAAGACGTTATAAGCTCGTTTGGGAGAGAATGTGCCACAAGCTCCATCGACCCAAAGAAAAATCTCAAAGAGCTAGAAATGATGGAATCTGAAACTCCACAGAATGGAATAGATGATTTTGATGAGATTGGAGAGTCCTTTCAGTGTGCGCCGATTGGTTCTACCGGGAAAGTAGAGGAATATTCTAGAGCCGATGAAGATGATATGGATATTCACCCGCCCTCTATTCAGACATCACCGCAAAAACCAACAGATAAGATGGGTCGATCGACAGGAATAAGAAGATCTCAAATGGCCAACAGGCAAGCTGACGAAGAAAGTATCGAAAGCAAAGCAATGCTTGTCGAAGCTGGCCCAGATAAGCCGATAAGTGTGGAAGACAAGGAAGACTTGAGCGTAAGCAGTCCCGTGGCCGAGAGGAAGCAACGAGGCAGACTACCTACCGGGAAGATTTCTGCATTATCTGTCGATGAGCATGTCGACAAACTGGATGACGCATTGAAACATATAGCTTCTACAGATGCCACAGCAGATGATTCCTCTACAAATAGCCCCGCACCTGAGAAGAGGAAACGAGGACGACCAGCTAGTAGAAAGGTCTCTTTGTTATCTCCTGATGGGCTTGCCATGGAAGAAGATAAAGCAGCTTTGGATTCACAAAAAAGCTACGAAGCCACTATTATCAACAAATCAGCTGAGGCATATTCATCTCCCAGAAAACTCCCAGCAGACAAGTTATATCCAAGTAACCCTACACCTGAGAAGAGGAAACGCGGAAGGCCGCCCGGGAGAAAAACTTCCACGTTATCTACTGTTAAGAATGATGATGATGATCTTGAGAGAGAGCAGGGTTTGATGGATGAGAAGACTATACAGTCGAACATCAGTCACAAATCGACAGATGAACGACCTGCAAACCCTCCCATTCATTTCATGCAAGAGGAGAAGAGAAAAGGAGTACCGACAGGTCGAAAATCTTCAGATTTGATTCCCGAGAAGAATTATTCTGATGGACCTGACGGAGAATTGGATGAGTTAGATGACGTGACAGCAATAGCCCCAGTCGAGATTATTGAGAGTCATGATGAGTCTGGAATCAACGATACGATGGATGAACTAACTGCGAATTCGTCTTCACCTGTTAAGCGAAAGAGAGGAAGACCAGCTAGTAGAAAATCTTCCGGCTTGAGTCTCGAGAAACCCAGCATTGAAGAAGTTACCAGACATTATTCAAGTAATGTCTCAGTGATTATTCCCGGAGATATTGAAACGGAACAAGCTACGCCTAGTCAGAAATCTACTGGAAAGCATATTGCTATCACATCTCCATCGGTCAAGAGAAAGAGAGGAAGACCTGCAGGACGTAAATCTTCTGGGGTTGAAGCAGAACATACAGAAGCTGACGAGTTATTGTACGATGCTTCACCATTGACTCACAATGATGTTGATGTACAAGCCGCCCCACCTGGAGAAGCACATGATGATTCGGATGGAAGTTCTTCTGTACGACCGAAAAAAAGAGGTCGATCTGGTCGAAAGATATCTGAACTGAATTCCGAGAAGATACGCGTCAACGAAGCTGTCAACGAAAGCTCTAGAATTGTTGTAACGGAAGAAACCTTAGAGAGCATTGCTAAGGAGTCCATAGGTGATGTTCATTCCACTGATGAACTAGCTGATCTCGATTCCTCACCAGTGAAGAGAAAGAGGGGAAGACCTGCTGGCCGAAAGGTGTCTCGACTAAGTCCGGAAAAGACAACTGTTAACGAAGCTTCAGAGAAGACTCCAGATATCCCAAATAAGGCAGTTACTGATGCTAGTGTCTGTGAGCCAGCATCTGAGACGCAATCAGTCGACGAGCCGCAAACTTTTGCCAACAAATCACCCGAGAAGAAAAGAAGAGGTAGACCGGGGAGTCGTAAGGTCTCCGAAGTGACTAATCCAAACAAGGGGTCCGTTAAACCTCCAGAAGAAAGTCAGGTGGCCATTGCATTGCAAGAGACCGTAGGCGTAAGTATTGATCAACCAGCTGTGATCAGTTCTTCGCCAGAGAAGAAAAAAAGAGGTCGACCTGCTCGCAAAGCTTCTAGCTTGAACGCCCGGAATGCTACCATGAAGGATATGTCGAATGATGTTATTAGTAGTGGTAAGGATATCCCGAACGAGATTGTCGACTCAGATGAGGAAGAAGATGCGCTGCTCAATGAATCGCCGCCTTCGAAAAAGGTTAAGCCAGGGCCAAGGATGAGAGGCCGACCACCTGGAACTAAAGACTTGGGTGCCAGTACTGAAGACGCAAAATCAGGCGAAGAAAATTTGACAGGGGTATTGACCGACAGGGCTGAGAGTGGTGGGAAAAATCAGGTGGTTACACAAATTGAGGAAAAACCTCCTGCATCAGAGAAGAAGAAACGAGGCCGACCCTCCACAACCAAAGCTAGGCGAATCAGTAATAGCGATTCTGATGTTGCAGAAGAAGAGCAACAAGTAATCGACAAAGGCGAGCTTCGAAGCATTGAAAGTGAGGACCCTGATGAAGAAGAAGAAGCTATCGAACAAGAAGAGCCGGTGATTGAGAAAAAGAAAAGGGGAAGGCCAAGCTTGCTCAAGAACAAAGGGAAACAGTCCGCAAAAGCCGCAGAACCTGTAGATAAAGATGCCACTATTAACGATACACCCATCACAGGTGGTATCAACACGAAGTTATCCGGAAGTCAAGTATCTACATCGTCAAATACTTCAGCATCCCATCGCCAAGATGCGTTTTTAGCCGAGATCAAGGCGATGAAACTCGTAAGTCTTAGTCTCCCTTTGATCACATATTTGCTTTTTCCTTCAAATAATCAACTAACTCTGTTTCTAGACATCAATCCAAACACGTAATGCCAGTCTCAAAGCAGAGATTGCACAAAAACGCGAACAAATACAGGAAATCACGGAAGGGTTGGAGAAACCGGCGAAGCAAACGGTCAAGAGACATATCAAGTTGTTGCATGATTATAATGATATCAAGGATGTGGGCCAGGGATTACTGGGCATGATTGCCGATAACAGGGGTGTGAGGGTTGGGGAACTGTATGAGGAATTTGGGGTGGGGATTGCGGATTAGGAGGGTTGATGAGAGGGGGGGAGAGGGAATGGAAAGAGTGTGCTGCTAAAGTGGTGGTGAAGGAATCCTGGTGGAGGGAATGATATAAGGATGAGTATAAAAGCAAGGAAATGAGTTTGTTGCTGATGGGTGTGTTTGGTTCGATTTCCTTATTATATGATACCATTTTGCCTACTGTTTGCTGGGGCGTAGAGGCTTTTCTCTCGAGGGAGAAATACACTGAAGGAGCTAGACTATTGAATGTCTCTTGCTTGTGCATTAAGATAGAGATGGATGGGAATACAGTTTTCTCCTAATGAGATTATATGAACAAATGTAGCTGCGTAGGTAGCTATAGTAGCTTTATTTGCAATAGAGCCTCGTTTACTATCATATTTGAATGGAAATGAGCATTATATTGAGATGGAAGCAAATGCTTGAGTGTATGATGGAATTGAAATGATCTTTCTGGAATGTCATCTGCATACCAGGTGCCGGATACCGTCTGAATTCAATAGCTTTATATTACTTGGTATTCTTTGAGAGGTTAGATGAAGAGGAGTGGGAATATGGTATTTTGATTGGTGAATTTTCTGGGCGCGTGGAGAAGGTAGAAATGATGGGATTTATCAAAGCATATTTCAAATTCATGAATAGTTTATTCTTATATTATTTTATCGGACGATATTGCCTATATAGACGGGCTGTTTTCAAGGACGAGATAGTGACTATCACCTAATCCCTCCGAAGAACTAAAAATTATTCACAGCTTCAAAAATTCACTTCCCTTCAAATCCTCAAACTCTTCACCCTCCCTACAATCCACCCCCTCCTTCACCACTCTCCCCACTTCCTCCCCCACCTCTCCCTCCCCATTCAACAAATCAAAATACCCACTCCTAACCCCCTCCTCCGCCAACAACCTCACCGCCACCTCCGCCACATCCCCTCTCGTAACCTTCCCCTGTCCCGTCGTCTTCCCCAAACTCACTCTCCCCGTCTCCTCCTCATCACTCAACGTCCCCGGCCTCAAATTAATCCACGTCATATCTTTCCTCTCCTCGCTCAACACGACTAATGCTTGATCTGCCGCTAACTTCGCTTTGCAATAATCGGGAATAACTTCGTTGTTGACTTCCTGCACATATGCCCAATCTTCGTCGCTCCACCATGGAGCCCGCGAGCGGCGGCATATGAGCGCGGAAACGAGGAGGAATTTGGTGATAGAGGGGGTCGCGAGAGAGGCCCGGATGAAATGGATACACGCGTTTTGATCGATGGCGTAGGTGCGGTCTTTGGCACCTTTGCCTCCGGCTCCTGTTGAGTTGGCAAGTTGTTAATTGGTGTTCTGTTTCTTTATGGGAAAATCTCTATCTCTGACCTTTCCTTTTCAAGGAAAAGAATGAGAAGAATGAGAAGAATGAGAGCAATGGGAGAATTCATACCAGCACACCAGATAACCCAATCCGCTTTTACTTGTTCCAAAATGCTCTTCGCGTCACTCTCGCTCTTTACATCTTCAATGCTGGAGACGAGCACCTCGAGGTTTCCGGCGCTGTTTTTGGGGGCCCGGGATGCGGCGGCTAGAATGTCGGATTTGTGATCGGGGTTGCGGATCATGGAGATGAGGTTCCAGGATCGCGAGAGGATTTTGGGGGTTAGTAGGAGAGACACTTTGCCGTGGCCGCCGAGGAGGAGGATGCGCGGGGTAGAGGGTGACATTTTTTTTGTGGTTGAGAGGGGTTGATGGTTTGAGTGTTGTTTTTGTGAAGGGTGGGAGAAAATTGTTGGTTGGGAATTGAGATTTTTGGAATTTCGAAGTTTAGATAGATATTAGCTAGTAGCTAGTAATTACCCCGAGTTGATATAATAACTGTTTGATGTTGCTGTTCTGGTTGGTAAGAATGCGGGGTTGGATCGCATCATAGTGGAACTTAGTTGGGAATTTTCGATCACGTCATATCCTATCTCCCTACCGAGCCTACCTTCCTTCCTTGTGGATTATGTAATTGATTAATTAGGCTAACGTGGTTTAGGTATTGTATTATTATATTAGTAAGGTGTACTACTACTATTATCTCAATTCTTATTTAATTATTAAGAAGTAATCAAATTGAACCACCTTTACTAGTACCCTAATTGCTTTACATTTAGACCCATGAGATTCATAATCTAATAGGTCTCAAAGATTAAGGCATACTGATCCACATGCCGATCCCTTCTTCACATGAACGTTAAATATAATCAATCGATCAATCAATCATCTCAGCCAACTAAAATTCTAGGGAAAGGGTTCACAATTTCTATTGAATGTTCAAACCGTTGGTGATTTGTAGTGGATCTGGGACTGAGTATAAGGAGTATGTCAAGGCGGATTGTTCCTTGATCGGGTTTTCAAACTATTGAGTCGTAGAATCTCCATCCCAAACAGCTTCCAAAATCCAAAGGTTAGAGCCAGCAGGTTGCTTCCCTCCCTTGAATGTAAACCTTGGATCCGCATCTTCGAAGAGTTTAGCCCAATCTTCCAATTCTCTTTCCCTCGAGTTTTGTAACTCCAACATTGTGAGATCCATGGATCTCAAACGTTCCTCGCGCCATCTTGGCATTGTTCCAGGCTCCGGCAGCACATTGTCGTTGATGACAATGCGCGCACCTTTTTTGAGAGCGGGAATTTGGTTGCGCAGTATTTGAATGCAGTATTTGTCAGACCAGTTGTGGAAAATCCATCGGAAGAAATAGATGTCCGCATTCTTGACAGGCTGTTCTTTCAAAAAGTCATAGGCCATGAACTTGATTTTGTCTGAAAGCTCCGAGGGGACAGTCTTAGCACCAGCTTCAACCACTGGTGGAAGGTCTTGAATAATAAAGTTGAGGTCAGGGAATGCTTTCGCAAGTCGTGTGCAGGCAAAGCCATGCGAGCCACCGACCTGTTGATTTATTAGCGGGATTGATAAATCAAAAATCGCAGGGACATTGCATACATCAACAACAGTACCATTATCAACCTATTTCCAGGAGTAGTTGTCAATAACATATTGAAGATCGTATCCTGTACCCTCTGTCCAAGCTTTCATGGCACTGCCAAAACGTTTTGCTCGTGGTGGATTTTGGGACAAAACTTCGAATACAGATTTATCCGTACCGTTCGCAAGTGCAAACCCCTATAGAAGTACATCAGTCTAACTATCTACGCTTTATGTCAAGGGACTGTACGGTCTCATTTGGCTCTTGGGATCCCGGATGCTTCACCATAGCGTTAACTGTCTGGGTTGCGGCTTTCCAGAGCTCATCAGAGGTGGTCGCGACCCAATCAGCCATTTGCTGATCTTCTGCTATCATCCTGGATGCAGCTGTGTGAGCAACAACGCCCCTCTTTGGTTCCTTGAATAGGCGTAAAGTCATGGCATGACGAAGAATACGACGGACGTCAAGCTCATTGACGCCACATCTTTTTGCGATATCGGCATAAGAGACTTCTTCATGAATCGGAATGCTTTTCGCAATATTGAAGCGACCAATTGCTTGCATACTTATGAGCCAATCATGCTTTGATAAGTTAGTAAGGAGCTTAGTAGTTGCTTTTGTGTATACTCACGGTGAATTTCATCAAATACTCCTTAGGTCCAAGAATGAGGTCATGAAGCATCAACGTTGCATCAATAAGCTCTGATCGAGCAGCTTCAAGTTCAGGAGCATTTGAAGGGACGAGTGGCTCAGTAGGGGCGGCAACATCGAATGATGGGGGCTTTAGACCTTGGCTGCTCAGGTAATTGTCGATTTTGGCAGTGTTTGCCGATATTATCGCAGCTAGTTCAGTGATTGTTGGTTGCGCCATGATGAAGTAAAGAAGTATTGTCGGAGTAATCTTATCTTTCTCGAGGAAGGAGGGGCAATATATGTTGAAAAAAAGAGGGCCCGGTGAAAGAATCCCTGGTGAGATGTTAGGGGGATTGCATTCCGGGCCGCAGACATGCAGTAAATAAGGGGCGCAGATACTGCATCTGACAGATATTCTTAATGCAGTAAAAAAGCCTAATATCAATATTCCAATATAGTAAGCAGTATTGGCTATCTTGATTCTGTAATTGCCGCATGTGCTGGCGTGTTAATCTTGAAAACTAAAATTGACTGACTTCACTGTCTGTGGGGTTTCGTGGAGGTGCTGAGGGGGAGAAGAAATAAGTAGATTGGTGCGCAAATTCCATCAACCACAAGGTTGATGTAAAAAGCCTGGAGCAACGATATCAACACAATTAATTGTATCTACGACGAAGTTAACTCACCCATCTTCAAGTAGCACTGCTGACCGTGAAAGCTCCCCCTAAAATTGGACCTAAAATTGTCCCCGCACCCCAGGCCAATCCGCAAAGACCAAAGTAGACCGGCCGTTCATAGTCCAGAATAGTAACGGATAGTAGTACCATCACTCTTGAGTACATACTGGCCCCTCCAAGTCCACATATTGCTCTGCCCACAATCAAAGCGTCCATTTGGGTACTGCACCACAAGCAGCAGACCCAATCTCGAAGAGCACAACACAAATGATATACACATATTTGGCGTCGAACTGAGAATAAATTTGCCCCCGACACCGGTTGCATCAGACATGAACAGATCCAAAACGAGATATAAGGATTAACAGAATTGTCATTCTTACCAGAAGAGATTTGTTCCAGATGCCCCAAGGAGAAAGGCTACAAGAAGCCAGGCTAATTTATCGACTGATGAAAACTGTCGAACGACTGCGGGCTGCACGTCGGTACTGATTGTGTTATCAAGTGAGAGAGAAAGGTTGATGATAGAATCGAAAGAACCACAAGAGCCCATCGAGCGCCAGTGACACTGCTAGGTGGAAATAAAGGGAGGTGGGGACTCCCGCCGACGCTTTGGGTCTTTGAGAAACCATGGGAGCTATCAACGCCTTTGTTCTTTGCGGGCGTTGCACTCAGGATCTCTTCAAAGGTAGGTTCAGAAACCACAGAAAGATCCAGGGCAGGCGCCTTTTGCCGTTCTTAGAGATCAACATTCGTTTCGTTGGCCATGCTGAAGAACTCCGAAAGTATTCAGAAGTGGGCGTTTGCAAGTCTTGAAAGATGTCTTGAGGAAATACCAATCAATACTCGACTTGTACCGAGTTGTCACCATTCATATCGGTGGTGTCCGGATCACAACTACACATGCTATATGTCCCTGCCACATAAATTCTAGTAACTCTATGAATGGAACATACATATGTGTTAATATGGTCAACACATGATCGGTGAGGGTGATGGAAGTGGAGAGATTTCAACACTTGCCGAGTATATCTCCCGCCGTCTTGAAGAAAAGTAGATCCATGGCCATTCATGAATGCCTATAGATTCTCTCCGCAAGCAATTAATGTGCAGCATTCTCCACTTGGTATGTAGTTGTAAAGCTTTCAGTTTATACCGTTATGTTCACTCAGCACTTGCGAGGCGCAATCATTTTGGCCGAGTGGATTCGTCTTTCGGAGATAACCAACATCAAAACCAACATCAAAACCAACACTCTAATATCCGAATATACCCGAGGCAAAACACTGTGCCATTGGTACTCGCTGACCGGATCATCAGCAACTAACCCAACGGCCCGGTGCGCGTTGGCGGCGATGTTCTGCAGCATCCATCACAGTAGCAATGGACTGTCAGTCATTCTTATCATGGAATGGATTTTCTAGTACCATGTAGTTGGATTTTAAGGTAAAAGTCGATGATGGTGGAGTATCGTACAGCCCTTCATGATCTGCCAAGTCTTTTCTCTTCACAATTTGCAGATTCATGACACGTTAGAGATTTTGCGCATGTCGTTCTACCATAGAATTTCAGGTTGTTTCGGGTCAACACAGACCGCAGTCCGCGGGGAAGATATGCAAGCTTAGGTGCCTAGCCACCTGAGTTAATTGCATTGTTAGCCACTCTGGTGCTTACCTAAGTTTATCCCTTTACCAACCTGATCAGATTTCAGAAAAATGCTTGCCATATTCTCTTAGGTCATCAACAATGTCCAAAGCAGTTGCTGTGGAGTTGCTGGAAGCTTAGACATGTCGTATATTGGGGCTGTCACTCTAACTGGTGTAAAGCCCCAAGACATGGGCATGTCTGTCACAGATCCCACCAGACCAAACCAGCAGAACTCTCGAGGCTTACGCTTGATCACTGGACCTACCTCTGGCTACGATTTAATTTTTCCTTTCCAAACTATAAAAGCTAAATATAGTCAAGGGACTCATAGCACGAACCTTGAATTGTTCGATTGGGTTGTTGAGGTAAGTGAAGAGCTCGCTGTGTTGAATGCGCAGCGGATATCTATTAATGTGATTAGGTCTCGGGTATCATATTGTATAAGCCAATTGTTACTGATCTTAAACCCTCAAAGGTACAAAGAAATCTCTGCCTTACTATATTGAATACCTGTATACTCAGATGCTATAGCTTGACACGACTGAATATCCTGCTCAAAATACTTCATCATTCTTACCCAGAAGCTGCGGAAAATAACAAAAAGCTGATATTTCTTAGCATTAATGTCACAGATAGTCAAACTTGTGGCGGAAACGCTGGAGTTGAAGGTTTTTTAAGTTTCTATCTTTGCAAAGTATTCCACTCATACACCTTGAATATGTAAGATGGTGTCACCGAGATTCCTCTTTTAGTAGTATGCTGCTTCAAGTGAAGCTAGTGCAAGTTTCGCAACAGATACGGACGTCCTAGTGTTGAGAAGTGATTGGTATTTCACGCTCAAAATTTGCACAGCTAGATTGGTCGAAGGATTGAGATTGGAAAAACGACAGCACCTTCAACTTCTTGGTGATCGGTTGGTAATATTGTGAACCAGTCGGCTACAAATGGGGAGTTAAAGATAACTGGGAAGCAAACTTGAAAGCAACATTCAATGGAAACTTTTCCACGATGAAGTCTCGTTCAGAACCCACCACTCACGCTCCACGACATCATCATTCCTTATCTTACCATCCTTCATCTCATTCTCCGCCAATTTCCCTCTCATAATCTCTACCGCTCTTTCCCCCTCCCCAATCTCATCATATCCCCATATCGTCTCCGCTATCCCCCTCACTTTCTCCCCTATAAGCGAAAGATTATCAGAAATAATAGGATCTTCCATATCAAGCATCCGACCATAATAGTTAGCAGTAGATACAGCGTTTGTCGCGCGCGGCTGTCGGATTTGTGTGTATGCTGTGAACAGGGCGCGGAGATTTGAGCTGGCGCCGGAAGAGTGAGAGGTGGTGGGGAGGTGCGAGAGAAGTTTTGTGAGGATGTATACGTCTTCGACTAGGTGGGGGTGGGGGTTAGTATTTGTTTTTGTAGGTTAGGATGGATATAGATAGTGTGGTTTTTTGGGAAATATTAAGGATGGAGGATACACAGCGTTGGAGAGTGTAGAAGAATATTAGCTGGGAGACAAAAAAAGGAAACTTACTACCAAGACCAGCTCCCTGTCCAAAATGGGGAGCAGTGGTGTGAGCAGCATCGCCGATGAGAAGGATAGGTAGAGTGGGATGGTGAAAGGTCGGAGCGGGGGGATGGTAGAATGTTGCCCAGTAGGAAGGGGATTTGATGAGCTATGAATGGAATGTTAGTAGTTTTTTTTATCAGAACATAGATTTGGGGTAAAGGGGAAATAAAATCGGGAAAGTGAGATCCTGTGAAATGGGAACTAATATCGAGTTTGAGATGTATGAGATCGGGTAGAGGTGGATAAAACATCGCCATCGAGAGATACATAAAGGGGTCGAGGTAGTTTGATGAATCGAATGTAGCCGAAAAATACAACGACTATGGGTGAAATCCACAAAATAAAAATCGCAAGGAAGATATACCAAAAAAAACGCATCTCAAATAAGCAAATAAAAAAATCCAACCACCATCCACTTACCCTCATAATCCCCTCCACATCATCCCCCCACCTCCCATCCAAATAATCTCTCTCCAGCTCCTCCCCCACATTCTCCCTCACCCAACCCCCCTCCCAAACCCCCTCCTCCCGATTCGCAAACGCAACAATATTCATACTCTTCCCTCCCTCCACCGGAAACGAAACCACATGTCCCCCATGTCCCAAATAGAACATCCTCTGATCCGCTTTTTCTCCTATCCTCGCTCTCGCTTCTTCCATTGGTATTAATCCTCTATATGCTATTTTCCCCGTAAACCGTGCTTTGAGCGCTTCGGCATTGCAAGTCGGTGTGATTACTATATCCCGACAGAGAGATTTGACGCCATCGGCGCCGATTACTAGGTCGGCGGTTGAAGTTGTACCGTCTTGGAATTGTAGGGTGACTTTAGAATTTGGATGATCGGAAATAGAATGTACATCAGAAGTAGATGATACAATCCCAGTCAAACGCTTCCCAAACCGAACATCGCACGAAGAAGGAAGAAGTTTGATCAGAATATCCATCAAAGATCTTCGATGCGCGGTACTTTGACCCTCTCTCCCCTCTTTCATGCGTACCTGTGCGATTCGCTTTCCTTCCCAATTCTCACCGGCTATTCCTTGTGAATTTCCGACTTTGTCGCCCACTACAAAGTCCCACCATACGTCGTCTTCGCCCCAGTTCGCAATCGCTTTGTAATTTTCCCAGAATTCGGGATGGAGAAGTTTCATAATTCGATGGCCGCTAGCGCCGAATCCAATACCGGCGCCGATTTCGGAATAGTGTTGGTGCGATTCGTAGATGGTGTAGTGGAGATGAGAACGCTGGTGCGATGGGAGGGCGGAGATAGAAAGTGCAAGGGTGAGGCCTGTTAGTCCGGCGCCGATTATAGCGATTTGAAGAGGCTCGCTTGGTTCGAGGGCTGGCGGAACCGTGGTAGAGCTCGTCATGATTGTCGGAATAGGAATTGCAGCTGGGGATGGGATTTTGATTTTGGATATGAATAATGAAAGAAAAAAGGAAGAGAAAATGAGACGTGGAAGTTATAATGTTTAGTATCCGGGGCTGGAATCTGACAAGATGATGAGTTAAAAGCTGGTGACGTGCTAGAAAGAGGTAGGTAAACTAGACACCGATTACTGAATATGGATCACACTCGCGTACCAGCACACAATCCGCAGATTTGTAAACTCAGAAAATGATTCAAGATAATTTCATGGTATTCAAAAAACATGGTAGCTGGGTGATATTATATAGAATTAGACACAAAGATACACTAGAAGCCCCACTGCAACACAAGCTCGTAGAGATAGAACGCTAAAATGCGTGTTTCAAATCTTCGTGATGGTAACCGAGAAAGAACGAATGAGCTTTGGAAACAGTTCCGACGGTTACATTACATTGAGTACGTCGAGTAACCTCGGAAGTAAATACGAAACCGTCAATCTCAAGGGTCTAGCAACTTCCGAAGTACAGTGAAATTTAGGTGGGACGTAGAAAATTCCATGCATCGAGCTCAAAGAAAAGTATCTGACTAATAGAGTGTCCTTCAATAACGCCTTGTACCACCTAGGTACCTGAAGGTGAAAAAATGATGTGTAGAGGCGTTCCCACTACTAAGCGAAGAATTCCTTCCGTGAATTTTTGCGAGTCGGGAACTTTCTCAAAGACTTCGACTCTACAAAACCCTTCCACCATGTAAATTTTATGATATCACCTGTTACTTCAGTACCGCTGAATACCTCACTCAATTAAGCAATCAGTAAGTATATCTGAAAGAAGGGTGCATATCCCCGAGCGCGTCGACATCCTCTCTCTCCAACAAATAATCCCTTTTACCAGCTGCTCTAGCCCTATTCTCCATCCACAAAAAGAATGCATAGATAATCAAGAGAACCGCAGCACAACAAGTCATCCACACAATGGTTGTATATCCCAACACAAAAGATGGTGCCTTAGTACTTGCAAAGCAAAGAGTTGACGCTAGACCCCCCAGATTCCCAATGCTGACCTGAATTGCTATCGCGATTCCCGTCTTGTACGTTCCAGCAACGTTGTTTGGTAGAATTGTCCATATTATTGGTACAGCAATGTAGATTCCACAAGCCAGAAGATACACCGCTCCATATCTAGTATGCGCATTGACACGATCTTCATTAAGTAAGACTACCGCACCAGCTATGATCATAACGTATCCAAAAAGAGCGAATACTGTACGATGTTTGAAATGATCAGATAAGAATGAAGCTATCAATGAAGATACTGCTGCTGCAACAAAAACCGGAATACAGAGAACCTGTACGTGACGAGGATCCTGATGAGCAGAAATGCCAGAAACAATAGTTGGTGTAAATATTCCGACGCTAGCAGACGTCATAAATGTAAATGCGAGAATTATGCCACTAAGATTGATTAGTTTAGAACTGTCTGGGAAGTTGGGTGGATTGTTTACGCTACATATATCTTCCAATCTTTTAAACCCTTAATGAGTCTGTGTATGTCCAACTTCTCGCCCTTCGGTTCAACAACCCCTCCTTGCTTGATTGCATCAGCGAGCAAAGCCTTTTCATCGTGGGACATCCATTTTGCCTGATGCGGCCAAGTTGGCATGAATGGGTAAGCAACAACTGCCACTGCAACAGTAATACACCCTTCGATGATGAAGATCCATCTCCAGCCATTATACCCACTGGAAGTATTGATACCAGCAATAGCAAATGCAAGTAGTCCAGCAAATGCGGTTCCAAGGGCATTGCCAACCATCAACATACTTAATCTCCATTGCATTTCATACCGAGGATAATATTGACTCAGGATAAAGACACTTCCTACAATTGTGTTAGAATTTTCGCTAAACGGATGGTTGTCGAAAATACCTGGTATGAGTCCTGTTTCGAATAACCCCACAAAGAAACGCATGGCATAGAACCCCGCAAGATTTGTGACAAGTCCCTCTCCAATAGCTATGACTCCTATATGATGTTAGTTATGCTGGGGAAAGATTGGGAAGAGACTGCAACCTAGAAGGAAGGTTTCGCCAGTAATAACGATTTGTGGTGTGCTAGCTTTTAGTAATGCATTGCACGGAATGTCGAAGACAATAAAACAAATGACGACGATGAGGAGAGCCATGTTGAAATCGTCCCCTTGCATTTGAAGATCCTCCTGAATGCCGAAGATGTTTGCGCTTCCGATATTACCTCGATCAACGACAGCGACTATCCAAAGAGTAAATAAAGCTGGCAAAACATGAAGATCAATTTTCCAGATTAATTTTCGATATTCTTCTGGAGAAAGCGGTATGGGAGTCGGTGAGGTTGGAGAGCATAATTTAAAAACTCCTTGGTTCACATTATCCCCATTGGTTAGTTCCGATGCCTTCTCCATTATCATATGTTTTCGCTATTCCGTGAAGGATTCGCGAATACTTGTTGAAAATTGAGATCAAAACGAAGGTCAAAAAACAAGAAGGATAGAGTAAGTGCTAGGTGGATTTGCAGGATAAATGAATTGGAAATCGCAGAGCTTGGGGAGTAGCTGGTACTTGAACGGATAAAACTTGTCAGTCCTCAACAAAATAAGCTGTGACCTGCTTGCTATCAATTGTATCGAGTGAGTAGAGGTTTTATTGAGATCAAAATCGCGTACAAGTCAGAAATTCAAGCCATTTTAACCTCTGCTTGAAGCTGTCAAAATTGTGAAAATCCACGCAGAAGTCTTGTGTGAATTGAAAAATTGAAAGTAGAGATCCTTTTAAAATACTCAAGATTCTGCATCCCAAGTATAGTTCGCGATCCCGTTTTGAGTATAGTCAAAAGTATTAACTTCTTTCGATAGCATACCTTCACTGGAAGGAATCTCCCCATATATCTGCATGTCATAATCTCACCGTCACTGAAACTTATCGAAAGATATGTATATTTCTATTTGAAAATGAGCGATTGTGTAGATAGTCTCATCACCCATTATAGATATGAGATGGTGATCAAGGATTAGATGATTCTTGGAACAGAATGTACCAGAGCATATCAGCGGGAGATGCGGCTGCTGTTTCACCGGACGTTCGAATCTGAGCTGTTTTCCCTCTCGCACGAAACAGTATTCAACCGTTTTTACAGTTCGTCTCGCGCTTAAGAAAGTTTGAGCTTGGATAAAAGTTGTTGGATACGATATAGAAATAAATGATCGAAGTGATTGTCTGATGAAAGCTTCGCTCTAACATCGTTCCATATCAAACTTTCGAGGTCGTCGCTGGAACCTTATGTCCAAGGATTATTCAAGTGATAGACCGGATCGTCACTTTAGTACAGATTTCGCACAATATGCTTTGCCAACATGTGAAACATTACCTACCCTCGAGCTACCGATCAATAGCTTTGACGTCAATCTATCTTTCAGGGAAGTTTTTGTAAGGTTATGTGGTGGATTATATTTTTTTGTAGGTGTGAGAATAGCTTTCAAATACAGCTCGTTTTATTACTAAGCAGTGCCAAGGGTGCGTGATTAGTTAGCGAGTATTTGTTATCCCCTAGAGTGCTAGAGATAGGCTCCGAAAGTGGTTTATATGATATATTTTGAATGATAAAGCTTTATTGAATAGAATAGATATTTTAATTGTTTTTTAGTTATATTATTTATAATATAAAATATTAATTTCAAATTTGAATTTTTTATAATTAGAAAAAAGATCAAAGATTAAAAATTAATATATATAATAATACTCGAAATTTTAATATAGAAATAATATTGATTGAATTTTATATTAAAAAAATAAATACAAATATTAAAATAAATTCAGGAAATCCTAATGGTTTAATTGGTTGATAAAATCCCTGTTAAGCGACGGAGCCCATTTCTGACATTCTAGGGGATAGGAAAGCGAAAGCTTCTAGATCTAAGCGACAACAACACACATTCAACCGCGACTTTGGTCACAGAACACAACAACTCTCTTAACGAACAATCCGACATGCTGATACAAACCCATCCGAATTCCTGATATACAATACACCATCTTCCTTTCCTCACAGGATCGCTGAGGATATCAATCTCGCACTAGACAACCAGTCAAGTCATGCAAGTAAGTCAGTCTATTGCTGGAATCCTCACAATCGCCCAATGGATGTCACGAAACGGGATATTCATCATCACCAATATTTCTCTCCCTCTCGTCTTTGAATTTCTCATTCTTATTGTACTATGATATGTGAATACCTTCCAATTCTCAAGAAAAATTCGAAAGAAAGACCACCGACATGTCCGCCCACATGATCGGTCCATAATCATCAATCGTTCTGGTAAACTCCACAAATTGTTCAAACACCAATATTCACACTTCAGACTTCATATTTCCACAAGACTTAATGACCTACCTACCTACCTACCTACCTACATAAAGCAAGATTCCTATTTACCTAGTTTCACAACGAAAAAAGTCAGGATATTCTCAAGAACAAATGATAATTACAACACCAAAAAGTACCCTGAGCTAGGTACGATTCAGGAAGTTTACGGATCATGAAATATCATCCATCCCAACTGGGGCCCGCTCGTGAAAATCTAATCTAGCAAGAGGAATTTTTCATCTTCAAAGTCTCATTTAATCTTACCATAATTACCATAATGACCTTTTCAAAATCACATTCCCAACACTTCTTCAAGAACTGAGGTCCTCACACCTCTCCCCCTTTCATTTCCTACAATATGATTGATTTACCAACCTTCTCAATCTTCAACAAATCCCCAATCCCCAATGCCAGGTAACCTTAACAAACTATCCAAACCATCCCATTTCAGTTCAGTTCAGTTCCGCTCAGCTCAGTTCAACATAACTAGGTAGCTACCACCACGCAACACAGCACACCATTATCAACATCAACATCAACATCAACATCAACCCCATCCCATCCCATACCATCCCGCTTTCCACAGCAAACAGCAAACAGCAAACAGTACTATAAATAACAAAAAAGAAAGTAGATAGATACCTATATCGTAGAGATTCCGATAACTCTCGTATTTATTCTATACACATATACATATCTGAGTAATTAGAACTATATACCTAGGAGGTGCACATACAGATTTCTGAAATCTCCGCAGAACCTCTCTCTACCTCTCCTATTCTCTACCTCTCCTATTCTCCCATTTCTACTTCCTCCACTTCCTCCAATATCAATATCAATATCAATATCAATATCCATCATGAACCCATCTACCACCTACCACCTACCACCTACCACCTACCACATCACCACATCACCACATCACCAACTACTCTCTCCTCTCTCCTCTCTCACACACGCGACGAGAATTTTACTTTTTGATAGACATATAGTATAAAGTGTATGGAATCTTATTTCATTCATCCATCCATTCATTCATTCTTGACCTATCCATCTACCTAGGTAGGTACTATTCACAAATCTACTATTCACATAACTATCCCATTTAACTTTTCACTTCATCACCTAGGTATCTACCTACCTACTCAATGTTCCTTTGAACATCAATCCATCACTCCCCTCAATCACTCATCCATCCACACCCCAAAAATATATCCATCTATCCATCCTTCTCTCGCATTCGCATTCTCATTCTCATTCTTATTTTATATCTTCAACAATCTGATCCAATCCACATGAAAAGCCAACCCAACCCAACCCTTAAAACTCATATCACATATCTCATATCTCATATTCTCATCTCCTTCTTCCTCCTTCCCCTGTCCTCTCTGTCTTTTTCCCCCTTCCTCAACCCCTCTCAAACCCTCTCAAACCCAACCCCTCAACCTCCAATCCCCCCCAAAACAGAATCAAATTCAAATTCAATATCAAAAACTCTCAAAAACAATACTCAATACTCAATACTCAAAAAAACCACACCATACCTTCCCAACCCCGGGTATATATGCAAAGCCAAAGCCAAAGCCAAACCAAACCAAACCATGCAACATGCAATATGTAACCCCAATCCACACCAATGAAGAACCCCCCGAAAAGCAAGAATGAACTAAAAAATGCAAATGAAAATACCACTCCAATGCCTTGAGACATAGATAAACGGTACTATAAACATAGAAAGATCCAACGTATGACTCTAGAAGACAATAAAAGAAACAAAGCAAGAAAAAGGGGAAAGGAACAAAAACATCACCACATCACCTCGCTCACTGAACATCCAACCACGAATATCACAAATTCACTTACACCATCCCATAAAGCGTCAAAACATAACATAACATGAATTCGTCTTGCAAAACAACATCGATCACCAGGTATTCGAATTGTAAGCCACTGACTGAGTAATCCAGATAACGTTGAAGGTAAATGTTTGTTGAATATTCATTCCTATTTACAAAATAAAGTGTTTGTGTATAAAATAATCGGGATTTCGCATCCAGTTCCAGTCAAAAATTATCCATGGAAGTTACAAGCGAAGCCGTCTCGTCGTCGTTTTCTTCGATCGATCGATCACGGGTTCCCGATAGGCTTTCTTCCAATTCCTCTCAAACTCCAGAAGAAGGGGGTATATCTCATCTAAAATAAAACACTCTTCTACCAGAGAGAGGAAAGAGAAAGCCTGACAGTTCAAGAATAGAAAATAGTAGTTATAATGTGCTTTTTTCTTCCGCAATAGATTTATGCAGAAAGCATGTATGGGTCATTAGTACCCGTCTTGCCAGCCATGAGTAATCCCAATTCACGCATACGTTCAGCTCCCTTGCCAGGTTGAGGTCTACGCTCTGGTTGAGCTTTACGTGCACGATTGGCGCAATGCTTTTGATAAAACTTCTCCTTTCGTCTTTGTCGCTTTTGCTCAAGACCTTTGACAATGTCGATTGCTCCTCGTAATGGTCCATCACCATCATCCTTTGCTGCGATCTCATTGGCTGCAGCAATGCGATTGGCAGTATATTGACGACAGAAGGCATTTGGTGTACGAGGAAGAGACTTGGTGTGGGTCAATCCTGGTCTAGATCCTAAAGGTGCGAACTTGATTGGCCTACTTCCGCTTCCCGAAGGTGATCCAGGAGGAGAGTGGATTGCACGTGCTGGTGGTGGAGATCGTAAACGTTTTGGAGATTCATTGCCAAACAACTTGCGGGGAGGAGGTGATTGAAGACGTTTCTTTGGTGGTGGTGACTGAAGACGTTTCTTGGGTGGTGGAGATCGGAGACGCTGCTTGGGAGGTGGAGAGCGAAGGCGTTGTTTTGGTGGTGGAGAATGTAATCTTCTTGGAGAGTGACCAGGAGATTTACGAGATCTTGAACGACGACGTTCCGAGTCAGAATCTTCAAACTTTCCTTGCATCCAAACATGTTCGTCACTCTCGATTGTCTTTGCGGCATCGTCTTCCTCATCTTCTTCATCCTCGGGATCAGAGGT